CTTTTTTTTTTGTTTTCAGTGGCCCTAATCCTCTTCCGTAGTTAGCCGTATTAACAAGGCTTTCATATTTCAGGGGGAAGCCGTCTGACATGCAGCTCATCTCAGAGAACGAGGGTCACCCCAACATTTGATCCTCTGGAAATATCCCAACGTGGGAAAAAAGTTATCGATTTAAACACGTGAGTTTCCTGTTTTACCAAAACATGAAGGTTTTCATATTTTTCTACAATATGCAGAGTTAAAAAAAATGGTACATCATTATATTTTAACCATTTATTGTTCCAGCTGGATTAAAAATTCACTGAATAAAAAAAAAAAAAAAACTCTTCCTAACACATTATTAAACTTATTTTTAACAAAAATAAAAAAAAAATTGGAACCTATTAGGTTATGTAGTGGGGAAAAAGTATTCAACTATTCCCTCCAGTTAAATAAACGGAGGTTGATGGATTTCACTCAGTCTGAACTCTGTTTTCATATCTTTGCAAAGAGAGAACAGTTCATCATACGGCCATTATTGCTCGGTAATCAGCCCTGTTCTGCCTGGGCAGCGTTCGTTCCTCCTTACTGACAATAATGGAAACTAGTCAGAGTCAAAACAAGTTACAGACACTTTGGTTAAACAGTAAAATGTTATTTGCTTAGATCCTTTATTAACACATTCAAGCAAAGATGGATCTCAGAGACAGAAGCTGCTACCTTATCGTCCAGCTTCCTGGCGCTGAAGGAAAGCTCGATGTAGTCATCGTTCCCCGTCAGCTCCTCTGCTGAGACCTGAAGATTATCCCAAAAAACACATTTCCTTTGAGAAGAAGCTGAAAACGAGACTAAGACGCCGTCATTAAGTTAATATCAAACACTAAACATTCAGATCGGCAGCAGAGAAATCTGCAGAACAGCCTGAAGCTGCAGGGAAATGAGGAAGATTGGTGCCAAAGGGCAGCAGGGTCAAAGGTCAACCTGAAGGGATGTCGTGAAACGGGGGGGCCTCAGACATTTCAGCCGGTCGCAACAAAAATAACAACAGACCAGACACCCCCCCCCAAGAATATAAACTCTAAAACTAATTCACTGAATATTTATTTATACATTATAATTATATTCATTATTAAACACATCATTTTTTTTCACATAATATTTTTATTTAATGTATAATTTTATACTTTTTTTCATTTAAAATTTTTATTATATAAAATTATAGAATTCATATATAATTAAATATTAAATTATTTAATTTATAATTTCAAATGATTGTAAATGATATATTTTTTTTATTCATTTTAGATGTTTTTAAACGATATTAAATTATTTAATTCATAATTTCATAATTTAAATATTAAGTTATTTAAATCATAGTTTCCAATGTTTTAAATGATATTAAAATAATTCATTTGAAATGTTTTTAAATATTAAATGTTTTAATTAATCTTAAATGTTTGTGTTTATTTATTGGGACATTTAATTATTTGATTGTGCTCGTTACGTTGCAAAGGTAAACTTAATATAATAAAATCATGCTTTAGATAACTATTTAAATAAAAGAATAAATACGTATTTTATGGTCAGTTTTGAGGGATTCTATGGATGAAGATGAAGCTGGTGAGGAAGAGGAAGCCAGACAGGAACCTGATGAAGATGATCCAGTTAGATTCTAGAACAGAATCTCAGAAGAGAAAATAAAATACGCAGGAATTAAAATTCAGTGATCAAACTTCCTGGTTTCTTTCAACCAATCAGAGTTCAGCTCAAACAGCTAAATTCTTCTGGTTTTTACAAAAGATTTCAGATTTATTCTATAAACATAGATCTGCGTTCATCTCATGTCTGCTGAAAAGGAACCAAGAGTCTGATGTGATAATTCTTTAATTAGGAAACGGTTTCATGGTTCTGATCCGAATCATTTCATCTGATCAGATCCGTTCGTCTCCATGGAAACGGACAGAACTCCTCATCCCAGAAGAATGAGCGGAAAACGGGAAGAAAAACGCAAAACCGAAGAGAATGAAGAAAGGGGAAAAAAATGAACTTAAATAAAAACACACGTTAAATTAAACAGAAAGAGAACATTATTAGATATAGAAAAGTGAAAATAGATGAGAGACTGACGCTAGAGCTGCTTCCTGTTCCTAAATCCTTCAAAATAAAAGTCAATGAAGCGTTTCAGGTTGGTGGAGGTGAAGGGGATCATAGGAAGGGGAGATTTTCCAGCAGAAGGCTTCTGGTGAAATGAAACGACTGATTGTGTTTTTGATCCGCTCCTCAGAGACGACAAACCGACAGGAAAAGCTGCTGATCCGGTTCACAACTGGAAAATGACAGAAATAAGCGAATGTGTGGTCCAACAGGGAAAAGATAAGCACTCCAGGAGAAATGAGCAGACTCTGCCTGCAGGGGATTAGACTGATGGGGAGAGTGAGTGAGGAGGTGAGACTCACAGTGATGATGGCTTTCCCGACCGTTCCTCCTGGTCTCAGCAGAGCTTTGGACAGTTTCCTCTGGGAGATGATCTGCACACAAACATAAAACAATCAAAATGTAGGATGTTCTGCAGAATCAGAGCCAGCTGAGTCCGCTGATGGGCACCGCAGCCCTGAGGTCCACGTATTTACGTTATTGGACCTAGAATGAAGGTCCCAGACCGAGCTGAGGCCTCCTAGGACATTAAGTAACAGAGGCGTCTTCATAGGACACCCAGCAGAATGCACTGTTCCCCCATGTGGCTTCCTCTGAAGGAGGAAAACA